CATCCTGTGTGTGTGTGTGTGTGTGTGTGTGTGTGTGTGTGTGTGTGTGTGTGTGTGTGTGTGTTTCTGGGGCACTGGAAGGTTGCTGGACTAGCACTCCAGTGTGTAACTATGCTATTCATTTAATGTGTTAAACACCAGGTGGGATCTGAGTGGCCGACAGTACGACATCAAAGAGAAAGCAGGCAAGAGCCACCTGCAGTGTGGTGGGAGGAGGTGGGGCTGGGAAGAGGTTCAGACAATAACTACAAATTAGTGTTGAATGCAGCAAGACGTGGACATGGCAGAGGCCGCACGAGAAGAGTGGGTGGCAGCTTTATGTAGGGCGTGCCAGGGTTAGACCCACTTAGAATGTTGAGCTGACGCTTGAAGCTAAGCTGGCCCTGGGGACGTCTGGAGAACCAGGCTTCCAGGCAGACAACAGCATGTCCGGGGTTTCTGAGGACCAGATAAGGAGGTGGGAAAGGCTGGAGTGGGGAGCACAAGCAATTTGCAGCAGAAGTCTGTGAGGTCAAGGACCCGCCTGGCGACTCTAGATCATGTATCCTTGTCGGAGCGTGGCTTCTGTTCATTTTTACCTCAGTGCTTTGGGGATATCGCGGTGCACATCCAGGCATGCTCTATTCTCCCTGGGAACCAGGATTCCCTAGACGCTCTGCATATACCAGAGGCAGCTGCATCTCCGGTTCTGAGCTTCACCCCACTCCCAGCTTTCCCCACAGATGGAGTGTGGCTCCACAAGTTTCAGTGCGGGCATAATCAGGTCCCAGCCCCACCCTACCCCACCTCACCCCACCTCATCCCACCCCACCTCCCGTCCCAGGGTCACCTGACCATGCTATCTGTCCCACCCCCTCCAGACCATAGCTCTACCCTGCGCGTGCGCACTGGCTCTGGGGTGCCTAGCGTCACTCCTGGTGCCACCCGATGGCGCTCTGGGCGAAGAGGTCCAGCTGCAGCAGTCTCCCGAGCCCAGAGTGGCCAGATGGTTTTCAAACTTTGGCAACATCAACAAGTACATAGAGAAGATCTTCAACAACGGGTGGGCTGGCGGAGGAATGGGGGGAGGGATACCTGGCACCCCACTCACTTCTCGGCCCCACGATTTCTGCAATGACATATCCCCTAGTTTGAAGAAACCCAAAAACCTCAAGAAACCGTCCAACTCTACCAAACCCACCCCGTCGAGTACCACAGTACATCCTTACTTGAACATCACGAACCCCACGACCTCAGAACACCGGCAAACCCCAAACTCCACCCCTTGGGCTCCAGCCATAATGCAGCCAGCAGAGGCCTCCACCTATATCCTTGAGCAGGTGGGTAGGAGAGAGAGGGGAAACTCCTGGGGATGTAAAAGGGGTATGCCAGGGCCAGGGGTGTTCCTCACCAGCCTGTACCTTGACCTCCAGACACCTGGCCAGAATCTGACTACCCTTGGACCCTTTTAGACGATGAGACGGACCTCTATTCCTCCCTACCCACCCAGCATGGACAGACAATAAAGAGAAATAGCAGGACTAACAAGATGGCTCCAGGTTACTTGCCACTAGCCTGCCGGCCAGAGCTCCCTTCTGGATCTCTTAAGATGGAAGAAAGGACGCGTACCATGACTCGCGTGTGTACACACACACGCATCATACAAACCACAATAACAATAAAGGGACGGATAAACAAATACATTTTAAAAAAGAATCTCTATGGCTTCTGTGGCTTCTGTGGGCACTGGCAGGAAGGGCCTGTCCCTTCAGTGAGGAAGGGGACTCTGTAATTCCTCCCGTGAGATAAACAGGTCTCAGCCTAGGTTTGTAGCCCCCCCAATCACCCTGCAACCTACACACCCACCCTCCACCACCTCACCCCTGTCCTCTGCTTCCAGAGAGACTGGCTGTGACTCAGAGAGACAGAAGATGAAAGAATTGGTCCCAGCAACTTCAAAACAGGGGCTCCAGCCAGACCTGTTCCCTGCCAAGGTTCACCACACCACACCGGTCGGGACGCTGGTCTAGCCTGTGAAAGCGTCACAAAAACAAGCACAGTGGGTAGGGTCTAGGGGACCTCCCCCATCCTGAACCTGCTAGAGCCCCTTCCTGAAGCCTGATCGCCAGAGAGTTCTGGTCAGGGCCACACACTCCTTCCCATATCATCCGGCTATCAGACCCAGGTGTGAGGGGGCAGGTTCCTAATTTCTTCCTCTAAGAATGTTTACCTTTCTCCATAGAACCCATCTCAGGCTGAGAGACAGCTCGGGGCTTAGCTGCTCTTCCAGGAAATCCAGAGATTCCAAGCACCTACATTGGGTTCTACAACCATCTGAAACTCTAGTTCCAGGAGAGCTGAAACCCTCTTCTGGCCTCCAAAGGTACCAGGTACACAGGTAGTGCGCAGACATACATGCTGACAAAACACCCATACAGTAAAATAAACTAGAAGCCATCACCTAAGCTGCCAGAAGGTACTGGAACTTCAGGCTCTATCATCATCATTTAAGCCCTGCTCTCCTGCAGAAACCTCTCTATCCCCTCCTAGACACCCCTGGGACTTAAGAATCAACTTGAGCCAGGCATTTGCAGTGTAGCTGCACCCTGTACAAGCCTTTGGCCCTTTGGGACAGGTTCTGCCTCCAGGTCATTCACACTCAACACAGAAGCACAACTACAATGTCATTGTTATGGGATCAATGCCAAATGCTGAGCCTGGGAAAGTGGACTTTCACCCAGCAAGCCTGTCGCCCCAGACCCTTCAGACAGCCTCTGGCAGAGATGGGAGAAGCCATTCTGCGAATGTCTTATGTCTTCCATTCCCCATGACCTCCCTATCCACAAAAGTTCCCAGAAAGGGCAGTCAAGTTCACTCTCTCTCTCATTTTGCATACACACTCCACCACCACCACCACCACCACCACCACAACCACCACCAACAACAACACACCACCACCATCATCACACCATCACCATACCACCATCACCACCATCACACCATCACCACCACCACCACCACCACCACCACCACCATGGCACCATACCATCTCCACCTATGCAGGCTGCCCAGTGTGGGTAGACAGTCTACAGGGACTCTTCAGGAAGTACCTGGGTCTTCCCTCCTTGCCCCAAGAACCAACACGTGGATGCCACAGGTTGGACACAGGAAGGTGCTCAGAACGTTTGACTAACTGTGTCTCCTCCCTGGGGACAACAGCTCCCTACGGCTTTCTCCCAGCGGCGGCTACAACCCATGCTCAGGCTGGCGGTTCACTACCTCTCAGGACAACCCATTCTCTCCAGATTTCTAGAGAACAGTTCTGAGACCACCCTACAAGTCAGACAACTGACTGTCTTCCCACCAGCACTAGACCTCAGGGACTGCCCCCGCCCCATGCCAAGGGCACTTTAATATAAATGATTCTTCCCCCACTGCCTGGGGTATAGGAAGCAGTCTTGAGGGTACATGTAGGAACAGGTTGGCCTCAGGCTGAAGAGCTGGATGGCTTAGAGGTGCTGGGACAGGAAGATTAAACTCAAAACTGCCACATCACAGACCTTCAGGGTAGTCTCACGTCTCTCTGGACCACAACTTGCCCCTCTGTGAAAAGGATGAGTTGAGCCTCTACAGACACTCGTGCTCATCCTAACTCCCCTCCCCACCTCAGCCTCCCTGTCTGTGAATTTTACCTTCTCCTGCCCATATGGGCGCGTGCGCACGGACGGACGGACACACACACACACACACACACACACACACACACACACACACACACAAGGTTGGGATTTTTAATTTGCTGTATTTAGTTTGTAGGGGGCAGGCTGTTGCTAGAATGCGGAGGAAGGGGCTGGACCAGTGCTGTTCCACAGCCACAGGCAGGAAACAGGCAGGGCACTCCAGGTCCACCGGGCTGAGCTCCCTGTAAGGGAAGAAAGGACAGTGAGAAAGGACAGCCCTTGTTCTCTCTGAGACCCTGTTTTCCTTCCCCCTCCTCCAGATCGCCACTTTCCAGACCTGTCCTGAGCTCCAGGGAGCCGAGCAGGGAATCAAACCAGCCAGGGGCTGGTGCATGGGGGGAGCTGCATTCTAGGAAGTCCATCTGTGTTCCCTTCATCTCTCTTCCCGTACCTGGTAAGGAAGACAGCTGGGATAAGTGTGGTACTCAGGAGTCAGCTCACCGGGCTTGTATCCTCCCCCCCCCTCCCCCGCCAACACTGTCCTGCCCACAACACAAGGACCCAAGCCACTCAGTAGGAATACTGTTTTCTCAGACCAGGCATGGAAGGGACTGGAACTAGTATTAGGGCGCTCTCTCTCTCTCTCTCTCTCTCTCTCTCTCTCTCTCTCTCTCTCTCTCTCACACACACACACACACACACACACACACACACACACACACCGTACCTCGGCCTGGTTTGTGTGTTGATATATCTGCGGAGCTGAGTAGCGTACTGGGCCATCTGCTCTGGTGAAGCATAGTCCCCTGGGTACATTGGCTCCAGGGGGGCCCCCCAGGCACCCTGCAGGGGCTGCAGCAGCAGAGCCACCCAGGTGGATAGGAAAAACAGGGAGAGGCAGCAGTACGCAGCGGCCATCTAAAGAACAAGGAACAGGGTGAAAACAGAATGTAGTCCATCTGCGGATCCTCCTGCGTCCAGGACCTACCCACCACCACACATTTCTTCAAGCTAAGCCTGGGGACAAGGACAGATGAAGGAGCTACCGGCATCTACCACCTTCCTTCCCTAGAAAGCAAGGACACCTACGCACACACACACCCCTCAATGACCAGGGCAGCAGCCAAAGGTTAGCCCTGGCCTGGGCAACATACAAAAGCAGAGCAGAGGCCGGGCGGCGGCGGCGGCGGCGGCGGCGGCGGCGCACGCCTTTAATCCCAGCACTCGGGAGGCAGAGGCAGG